GAGGTGAGATTTGATGCCATTTTATGTCTCCCCTGTCGAAAGGTAACACCCATTTGTGTGATAGATGCTGTGAATTATAGCTTCAAATTATAATCCTTTCCTTAAAGTTCTTATTTATAGACGTATAATTTGGCAGCTTATGATTGTACACATTTATACACATATATCGTGAGAAACAGTAAATAATGCACTTCTTAATTAAATCCACCTAATTAATTCATTCCACATTTAAGAAAAAATCGACTATCCCATCTAGAGTCGACTTAAAATTTACAATTCTCAGACAGCAATTAATAGGAGCCCAATCAATGACATTTATTTATTTATTTTCGATGTGTAATAATTCATGAGGTTTCTCTGAAAATGTTATCTTTTTTTGCATTTTAATTGATAGGTACACAAAAATTAAAGTGCTTTATAGACAAGAAAGGGTGTGCCGTGAAACCGATCAAAATTATCAGAACACTCCATAATACTTCTATTAATAAATATGCCATTGCTTTCAGTTTTACGGTAACGATTTTTAAATCCATTGAATTATTTAAAAGTATGTCAACAACTGCAAAAGGTAGAGATTTGATTTCGTAAATATGGATACAAATGAAAAATTAGAATTCTTTGTTTATAAATCTTCTAAAAGCAAGACGACCTCTAAATTTAGCTCTTGTTTAAGCGAAAAATGCAATTATGTCACATGTGTTTTACTTTTAAAAAGCTAAACGCGTTAATTTTCTAGTGTTATTTAGGGCATATATGTATTTAAAAAATGATGAATTCTGTAAAATGGCAAACATTTTTCAGAAGTGGATTGTCTACATTTTTGGTAAATATCCTATATCCTTAGAAGGTGAATGACCGCCGACGAAATAAATTGCATGATTGCGACCACACAAAGGTTTGGTTGTATTATTAATTATACGCTCAAAGAAGCATCACACAGTAACCCAAATTTATATACATATGAAAGATTCCCATTTTTAATATTATATCATTTTATGGGAATCATGGTTCAAAATTTGTAGAATTGTAGTTTACATACATACCTGGTACCTACTCAAAGTACATAAAATCATAGGAGAAAGCGTAGTAAATTCATTTTTGGTCGCAGAAGTAAATTTGCTTACGAGTAAATTCCTCGCCATATAAACACAGCAATATTTAGAAAACTTGTAATATATTTACGTCTACATCTTTATATATCGGCATCTTTTGGAGAGTCTTTGCAAAGTAATGCAAGCCCATTCTATAAAAGATAAAAAAAAATCATATATTTGAGTTCCGATGATCAGCTCAAGATCTTGGAATAAGTTTTTTGTAAATTGACGGCACATATCATTGCGTTCCATTTGTTTTGAAAACGTTTTTTTCATCCTGGAATCAAGCAAGTAAGATATTTAAGTACAAAAGAATAAAAAGCAAAATGTGTGTAAAATGTATCAATATATAAACTACAATGTCTCTTGTTTTGTTGTACCTCCACAAAATTTTACTTTTTGATTTGATTGTAAAAAGAAAATAACCATAAAAATTAGATGCTCATAATCTATACAAGAAAACGTACAATATACCTTACTCTAGAGTCTGACAATGACAGAACCCAGTGTATCTTGAATAGGTCAAATATAGAGTGACATTGTTTAAAATTTTACACATTGACTAGACTTTCTGATTGGATTGAAACCATGGCTATTTATATTCAAATTGAATTTCCAAAGAATATTGTTTTGATTATGAAAAGTACATCAAGAATGTCATGCATAAAAAAATTGCATGTGAGACCCAGGTAAAAATAGGTAAAATAGCTAAACGAACACTTATTTCTGTCACAAAAAACGTGTTAAAAGTGCAATTCATACCCAACTTTTTTTTAAAGTCGGTCTAAACATTGTTCTACAATTTTTTTTTTATCTTAATTATACAATTTCAAATGTGTTCATGTAATGAAATTGCAATTTAATCATTTTTCCTCCTATCCCTATTTAACACGTCCTCCTATCCCATATTATATGAGGTACTAAAATTTGTAAGTACTAGATTTATCACTCCTGTGGCAGAGAAAAAGACATTATTTTGGCAAGTTTTGTTCCTTGGAAGTTTGGTTCTATTCAAATTACGAATAAAACAACGTAAATGTTAACAAAGGGCGAAGCATATTAATTTTCTAGATCTCTTTAACCCACTCGACGAAAATTTCATCCATAGCAAGATAAAAGGATCATAACAAGAGGCCCATGGGCCACATCGCTCACCTGAGTAACTTTGGCCATGCTGTTCATTACCAGACTTCCCCCCCTTGTAATACTTATTGTGGCCCCGCCCTACCCCCACAATTTAGAATCTACACTACCTCAGGATGCTTCCACATAAGTTTCAGTTTTTCTGGTCCAGTGGTTCTTGAGAAGAAGATTTTTAAAGATTTTTCCTTTATATTTCAATGTTTCCCTATTGTGGCCCCGCCCTACCCCCCGGGGTCATGATTTGAACAATTTAGAATCTACACTATCCCAGGATGCTTCCACATAAGTTTCAGCTTTCCTGGCTCAGTGGTTCTTGAGAAGAAGATTTTTAAAGATTCTTTCTATATATTTCAATGTAAAACTTGTATTCCCTATTGTGGCCCCGCCCTACCCCCGGGGGTCATGATTTTAACAATTTAGAATCTACACTATCCCAGGATGCTTCCACATAAGTTTCAGCTTTTCTGGCTCAGTGGTTCCTGAGAAGAAGATTTTTTAAAGATTTTTCCTATATATTTCAATGTAAAACTTGGATTCCCTATTGTGGCCCCGCCCTACCCCCGGGGGTCATGATTTTAACAATTTAGAATCTACACTATCCTAGAATGCTTCCACATAAGTTTCAGCTTTTCTGGCTCAGTGGTTCTTGAGAAGAAGATTTTTAAAGATTTTTCCTATATATTTCAATGTAAAACTTGGATTCCCTATTGTGGCCCCGCCCTACCCCCGGGGGTCATGATTTTAACAATTTAGAATCTACACTACCCCAGGATGCTTCCACATAAGTTTCAGCTTTTCTGGCTCAGTGGTTCTTGAGAAGAAGATTTTTAAAGATTTTTCCTTTATATTTCAATGTAATACTTGGATTCCCTATTGTGGCCCCGCCCTACCCCCGGGGGTCATGATTTTAACAATTTAGAATCTACACTATCCCAGGATGCTTCTACATAAGTTTCAGCTTTTCTGGCTCAGTGGTTCTTGAGAAGAAGATTTTTAAAGATTTTTCCTATATATTTCAATGTAAAACTTGGATTCCCTATTGTGGCCCCGCCCTACCCCCGGGGGTCATGATTTTAACAATTTAGAATCTACACTACCCCAGGATGCTTCCACATAAGTTTCAGCTTTTCTGGCTCAGTGGTTCTTGAGAAGAAGATTTTTAAAGATTTTTCCTATATATTTCAATGTAAAACTTGGATTCCCTATTGTGGCCCCGCCCTACCCCCGGGGGTCATGATTTTAAAAATTTAGAATTTACGCTATCCCAGGATGCTTCCACATAAGTTTCAGCTTTTCTGGCCCAGTGGTTCTTGAGAAGAAGATTTTTTAATGACCCCACCCTATTTTTGTCTTTTCTTGATTATCTCCCCTTGTAAGGGGACTTGGCCCTTCATTTTAACAATTTAAACTCCCCTTTACCCAAGGGTACTTTGTACCAAGTTTGGTTAAAATTGGCCCAGTGGTTCTTGAGAAGAAGTTGAAAATGTGAAAAGTTTACAGACGGACGGACGGACAGACGGACAGACGAACGGACGGACGACGGACAACGGGTGATCAGAAAAGCTCACTTGAGCTTTCAGCTCAGGTGAGCTAAAAATGTCTGACGTTTTATTATCTAGATAAAGTAAAGATAGTTTGACTTTTATTTTGACAAAAATCATATTATGGAATGGAAAAAAAAGAAGAAATTCTTGTTTATATTATGAATGTATGTTTTACTGATTATAGAAGATAAGGGCCTACTGACAACTACATTGTATGACAAACGATATGACTTTATCTTTTTCATCGTCAACCTATGAAGTTATTTTCAGCTATCAGTTACATATGCGATGTAACATATGCATCTCCGATCCTATTTGGTACGTAGGAGCATGCTTTTCAATTTTAGACCGATACAGACTACTGAAAGGTTGATGTTACCAAGGTTCTTTTTAACAACTCGTTTAAAGTCAGCAGTACGTAAATTGAATTCTATGGTCGTGATAATGACCTTGTTAGCAAATATAAATTATGATTGGGTTGTATTTTAGCTGACATGTTTCACACAAATTGTTAGGTCTTTGCGTTTTGTACTAAATTTGACTGCGGATCGAGTTTTCTGTCTATCTGATTAATGACCAACCCGTCATCAAGCATGTTGGTAAGTTATATCGTGCTCGAGAGCGCTGCTTCATAATTCATAGGGAAACAATGTTTTTTAAACAAATGTTTCTCAACGAATCATATTAAAGTTATTAACATGAAAGTATAACGTATAGTACTAAGAAATATCTTTCAGTATGAGGACACACTACTTTAACCAAGGAGCACACTCCGCACAAAAAAAAAAAAAAAAAAAAAAAAAAAAAAAACTACCTTTCGACTAAATTTGACTACGGAATGTTCAATTAATCAATTAACCTTATCAATACAAAGAGGGCTCACGGCAGCTGTGTATGTTAGACAGGGGATGCTAGCTCAGATCATGCTAGATCAGAGGCACCTGATCCCACCTTGGAAATTTCCTGGGGTCCGTGTTTTATGCCCTGTTCACAGAATTGTATTGTTCATAGATGTTTGTGAAATCGATCACTGTTCGTTATCTTCCCCTTTTACATGATGTCAGTTTTTTTTTGGTCGGTATTCTGATACACAAGTCCTTATGATGTCGAATTTCTTTTCTTCAAATTAGGACTTTTTTCTTTGCATTGTACCTTGTCTTCGTATTTCATGATTGCTATTACTTTTTCATATTAGATTTAATTTCAATTGTTTGTTTAGAATATCAAAGAAACTGGAGATTTCAACTGCAATACACCGAGTTGCGAACAAGTAAGGTTGATATCAACCTTTGTCAAGATAATTTCATAAATAAATATAAGAATATACATAAGAAAGCAAATGCAGCTTATATCATTGCTTAAAATTATGAACAGCATTGAATAAATCATTTTTCTTTACTCATTGCCATTTTCCCATAAAATATGAAATTAATAAAAGAAATATAATCATAATCTCCATATGACCAACTCTACAAAATTCTTAAAATGTCCGTCGAACACGACAACTTTCAATTGCTGTTTACTTATATTTTTAGTGTCTCAAACCATGCTTCTACGCACAGCGTCAGGAAAAAGTTCAATGTGAGGCTGCATGTGTAAGTTATTAAGGCCGCATTCTGGGTTTTCAAGAAACGATGATCATTATTTCAGGAATTTATTTGACAAACATGTTTAAGTGAATGTCATTTCCATTTCCTCTTTACGCCATTTTTTATTTTATTTAGGGAAATGCACATCAAAACTGCTTATCAAGCTGTTTCTTCATGGAAACTGCATCTTATAATGAAAGTTATTTAAACCCAGGTTTGTATCATACGAATACAATCTTTAAGTAACAGAATCTTAAAAAATTCTGATTGTTTGTAATTTGTGGTAAGAGCATGTCATCCTTGTTTATAAACAATAAATTTTCCAACAGCCAAACCCCCCCCCAACCCCCCCCCCCAAAAAAAAAAACAAACAAACAAAAGAGAATAAAATAAATAAAAAAATAAATCTGTAAAGGAAAATAATAATTTAATTTTTATATGAAGATAAATTCATAGAAACTGTAGGGGTAATGAACTGGGTTTTTTTTTTAAGTTAGTTAAAGTGACGATATTCATTTTTTTTTCTCTGTTGAACTTTTAGGTAACCTAAAGCATATGGCTATACAGACTTGTCGAGTTAATATTCCAGCATATGGAAACCTGTCGGGAACATTTAACATTTCCCTGAAGTGGTCTTTAGAAAATACTAGCCGTGATTATGCAGAGTACACCGTCTGGAGAAAAGTAAAACAGCATCAGGAGGAAAATTGGCGGCTTATTTCCATTGTGGGTATATTTCAATTTACATGTAAAATAAACCATAATCGTCCTTTTCCCTTTAGGCCCACAACCTTATTATCTCTTGTCCGCCCTGATAAAACTTAAATACTTTCAAACGATATGATCGACAATAAGATATTCAGCATGCTATATATTGACATATTTATTCTAATTAAACAAGTTGCTGTCCTTTAAAAAAGGACTGCAATACGTGGACCATATGCATGTGTTTCTACATGAAATTCAAAGAAAATTTCTAGATATAGTGATTTTACAAAGATGTTATTAAATTTAAATTTTTGTTTTACATGTATATTGTAATTTTCATCGTTATTTAAGTCTGCTTAATTTGGATGTAATGATAAAAAAAAAAAATCATGACCTTGCAATGATGTGAATATGAAATGTTGATCTAGGTATCTATCACAATTGTAAACACTGGTAAAGTAGCCTTTAAAATTAACAACAGAATTAAAAGAGGCCTAAGCGTGCAGGTGTCGCAATGGTTGAATTTTAACTCCGTTGGCGGATCCAGGAAACGGGGGGGGGTTCGGATGTTGGAACCCCATTTATTTTTGCAGAAAGAGGAAGAGAGAGAGAGAGTGTGTGTTTTTTTTTTCTGTAATACAGATATTTTTACGTCTAGTATTTTCAATAAGATAAGCACTACAATCTCTGCCCTTTCTCTAGATAGAGTTTTGCTTATTGCTTTCGTCCGTGTACCTTCACAACCCCGGCCCCGGGCCTCAACCACCCACACGTAACATGAAAGATTTCACTTTGATTTCATCGGAAGATTCCGGCGAACATACATAGCCATTTTTGGACCATCTTCTAAAGTAACTAACTTTAAGAAGTATGCTTAAAAAGTCATGAAAGGGAGTATGCATAAGAGAATATTTTTCTCCTTATATTATGGGGATATTTTAATCAATAAAGAGAAAGGCGCAAAATGCCCCCGTAATATGTTGGGGAGGGGGCTCACATTTTCCTAAAAAAAATAATCTTTTGTTATAATTTGAATATATAAGTTTTGATTTGCATTGGAATCTCCCCGCACTTTATGTTGCGGGAAGGTTCAAAATACGGACAATCAAACATTTAAAAGAAATCAAAATGTACCGAAAACTTTAGACGAAGCCCCCCCCCCCCCCCCGAAATAGGATTTTACAGTGTGGTGCACAGGTTGTTATTTTAATTTATTTATTTATTGTTGCTTGTCAACTCTTTTTGGAGGTTGCCCCCTTTGAAAATCGTTGCTACGGGCTTAAATATAAGTACCTGCAGTGTGACCTATACCCCCCCTTTTTCAAAAACTGCTGGATTCGAACCTGTACTGGAGCACTAGAGGGTCTCGAGTTATCTAAAACGATGCTAGGTTATCGATTATCTCGATTGATTTAAAGAACACAAAAAGATTAATTTTGTGTTTTTTTTCTCTGTCTCTTTTAAATAACGGAATGGTTAATATACAACGCCTGCAATCCTAACTTCTCGGCAAAACAACGTGTTTTTCCGAGCTCGCCATAAGTTCTGAGAAGATGCGATTGATCTCATCGCACGTGTGTTCACCTAGGCTATTTAGTCTTGCAAGCACAGGTGTGTGCACTGTTTGCTAGTGTCGCTTCGACTGGTGACGGTATTAATTTGCTCGGACATGAAGAACTATACGCCAGTTTCATAACATGTGCATTTTTTTTTTTTCTAGTGAAAATTGGAGAAAATTAAAAAGTCGAATATCTTGGATATGGGGTAACCCATATCTATTCTTGTTACAACGACCGTCAATGCATCCATGGACGAGTTCATTGGTTACTCTGAAAGGTGGCACAGGTCAACCTTTCGTTAACAATTTCTACGATGAACTGCCTACTTTGAGTGATTGTACTTTCATAGCAAAATTGATAAATTTTATTCCCGATTGGCCTATAGTTTTGTTATTTAAAAAAATTGGGCTATTTCGATACATGTAACCCATAACGACTGGGACTTGACATCTGCACTAGATTTATTGATTTTTAAACTTGTACCACAGATCTGTAGTACGCAGATTTTTTTTAATGTTTCTTCCTCTCCCCCACGTGGAAAAACGTTGCTACAGGCCTTTATCAAGCTATATTTGGATTGCTGTCAATCAAATTATTTTGCGAACCTTGATGCACAAAACTATAATGCCGGTAAATGTTTTAAAACCTAGTAGTTGAATTAAGTTTTTAATTCAACATGTTCAAGCTGTTAAGCTATCTATATAAGTTCTTCCTACTTATCTAAAATGCTTGTACCATCGAATATAGTTTGTATATAAGGATATATGTATTAAAGAGAAATTCAGATCTTAGTTACGCCAAAGAATAAATAAATACGATGTGCAGATTTTAGAGCGAGGTTTTCCAAGGATTGGCGTATTCTAATTCAAAAAGGGCGAATTGTTCTAAGGACAAGTTGTCTTAGAGGCGAACTCTCTAGCATTCTCGCGCATGCGTAGCCTGACGTAAGCCCATGGCATCCGGTTTAACCCCACTTATATATTTTCTGCGTGGACCTCAGGGTCCACGCAATAAATATAGGGATATTCATATTAAGCAACCTGGTCTGAAAAGTTTTGATGACTCGAATTTCGGTTTATCTAAAGGATCAACTGTATGAAACCTGTTCTCGAAACATTGAAAATTTTTAAATTGCCGATCAAATGAGAAACAAGAGGAATAACTTATCGTTTGTACCTTAGAAATTGAAAAACTCAAACATTACATAGAAGTCATTTTGTCAGATACAGAACGTAATCTTGAACACAAGTTGAAAAAAAAAACCATACATTTTTGAAGACGATTGAATTATAATAATTGCGAAAATAAACGTTGAATGTACATATAAAAAAAAAACAATGTTTAACTCGCATTTTCTGCATTTATTATAACTTTCTGAATAAACCTAACTATTATTTTTCTCTATTGTTGCAAGCAATCTGATTGACTCAACGTAGATCACATGATGAAGTATTAAAAGTCTTATAAACTTGGTGTCTCAATTTTAAGGTTCTAAAAAAATTTATAAACCTTCTGTTTCTAGAATTGGAAACGTTCTTCTGTGAAGCAAAAATAGTGCTAACGTAGCAATAGTCTTTATAAACTGTATATTTTAAAATAAGATACTGAAGCTGCTATTTGTAACTTTGATGTCATAATGCGAATGACATAACAATGCCTTATATGAGAAAGTATTGAGTATTAGAAACATGGATTTAAAGACATTTTTTAACTGATAAAAAAAAAATAACAATTGTAGCCATTTTTTTCGGTACAATCCTTAGATATATAGACTTTAGAGAAAGCATATCGACGTAGCACATCGTGCTCGGTCGATATGCTTTCTCTAGGGTCTATATATCTAGGTATTAACCTCATCAAAAGGCTATAATTGTATAATAATGTTTTACTTTTATACCATTTATAATGATGAAAGATATCATGAAACACCATGTATGATTCAGGAAACACAGATTCACAATGCTTTATACGATAAATATTGAAGATTTCATCCAAAATTCAATGTATTTTTATATTAACGTTTTGATATTAAATGCATAAATGGGGTAAAATTCCAAAATTGATAAATTTAAGAAAATTATTCATGCATCCAAAACAGAGAGAGAGAGAGAGAGAGAGAGAGAGAGAGAGAGAGAGAGGCTCGGTGTATTCTGAGAAAAATTGATAATACTTTAACTTGAAAGCTATTTTTGCCGTCTATTTCTGCCTCATCAGTCATTTAAATCAAATTAAATCAATAATGAGCTGTATCTCACCAATACTTAACTCATTTTTAAATGCACTGCTTTACAGACAAATGCAACAAACATGAAAGTAGAAGATCTAAACCCTGATTTGTTTTACAAATTCAAAGTTGTTCCAGTGCTACCTGAGCGCATTTACATGATACAATCTTCAGAAACAGATTGGATTCAATCATTCAAAGCTAAAACAAGTTCAAAGCATTATGATTAATCCTATAAAAATTGATCTCCAGTGAATTATCACCTCCATTATGATCTCCCAACACGATACCTGTTGACATATTTTAAAGATTGACACAAATTGAAACGATAAATTCAAGAAAAAAAAGAAAACGGAAATTGTTGTATTTGCAGGTCAGGCATTTATAATCTTGATAACCAAATAACGTTATTTTTTTTTTTTTAAATCTTATTCGATGTGAACTGGTTAGAGACATTGCATGACAGACATACTACAAATGATTGATCAATAAATTTTACTAACTAAAGGCAAATAATGTGTAACTACTAGTCCAAATACCACTTAATGTAAATAGTATCAGGCAGTGGGGTTAAATATAAATGTCTGATATTATTTTCCCAACAATTAAATGATTTAAGGCAGTTTTTGTAAGACATTAATTTCACTTATGCCAAAACGTAGCCAAGACAGTTCTTTATTTGAATTAAATGAGTTATTCATCGTATCCTTCCGTATTAAGTAGTCTGAAAGTGATTAAAACAATTTGAAAGAGTACCTGAACGATATGTATTGACTAAAGCTTTTAAAGTTTGTACCATCGAGTTTGTTTGTAGATTTTAGAAAAACTTGAATTCATTTCCACATCAGGTAGTCCAGGTTAGTATACTCACTGATCCCTTTAAAAGGATAAAACTCTTCAAAATCTCCTCTCAGTATTAAAGGTTTTCAGTAATCCAGACCTTAAGTCACTCTACCCGTATTGAATCCCATACTTTTTCGGACGCCTAAGAAATTGAACAAAAAAAACATTGCAGGGCTGTGTATTGGTCTATCGCTTTTACTCCTAAAAAGACAATAACAGCTTTTAAGGTAAAACTTCAGACGAGCTGTGTTATAATATCATAATGTTAATCAAATGCTAATTTTTAGAAACTGAAATCACAAATTTCCTCAAAAATTAAGAAAATCAAAACGTATCAACATTTTAAACAACCAATCCTAGCAATACATAAAAGACAAAGCTTCTTTACATTATAAGAAGCGCTTTCTAAATAAAACAGGAACTCAGATTCTTTTCATATCTTGTGATTGGTCGGCTATATATGTTTAAATAAATCACAGTACACAACCCCTGACGTCGGTACAGAAAAGGTACGGATTTTTTTTTATTAAGAATTATTTTGTAGTCTAAAGTCACCACATGTTTCATCAATCTACTTGGATTCCAATGGGCATAATCGTTTTCTTTTAATAGCTTGCCTATTTTGTATTCGTACTAAATAAAAAAAATATGTGTAACATTAAATTGATTCAGTACACAAAAGCATATTAAATTTAAACCGATGCAGGCAGCTGACAGATACGTTGATGGTACTGGGCTTTAAAAAAGTATCTGTTGAGCTTTTGAGCTTGACTACTGTTCGTTATCTCCATATTCATTTTTAAGTCAGCGTTGTTTAAATGTTTCGGTTAAGGCAAATCTTTTGCTTGAAAAAAAAACAACTCTCGAATTGAATTTTCTTTGAAAGGGATTGTAGAGGCTCGAAATTCTAATTTATAAACATTTGCAAATTTTTACCCCTATGGCTGCCAGTACTGAAGTAGAGTAATATCATACAGAAATAACATCCAAAAATCAATCGTTAAAATTGAAAGGTTTTTTTTTCTAATTGCAGAGGATATAATTGTACAGAGGCCACTCAAACTCTCTGTATCAAATGAAACCGTTGAAGGGAAGTCAATACGAGTTAACGTGTCTTGGGAACCTCCTCCTGGTAAGTAAACACTCACAGTTTATAACACAATTATATTTAAGGTTCACCATCTCTCTGCGCACTCAATCTTTCCTCAAAGCTTATGATTATTTCAAAGAAATCTAATTTATATGTAAAACGCAATCAGTATCGGGCATACATGTACCTTTCGGAGCAAAGTTTGACTGAAATGACCTGAACACTAGAGACCTTCAAAAAGGAATTAAATAGTCATTATACCAATCATAGTTACCTCTCTTATCAGGGTATCGATGAACCTTAATTTCAAGACTTATACTTACTAGGATCTATTGATTGAGGCATTAAAACCTTCAAAGAAAATTATTCATGGTTTTGCTTGAAAAATGAAGACATTTTGATGCAGAATATCTTATTATTCGGAAAAGTTTATATCTCGTTCAAGAAATTATCACAGTGCCACATCTATCTATCTATCTATCTATCTATCTATCTATCTATCTATCTATCTATCTATCTGAATTCACTGACTTTTACGATCTACTTAAACAAATAAATTCGGATATCAAATTCACGATGGAAAAAAATGATACGCAAATGTCAATCTCGATTTTCTTTCATCAAAAGATAATACCAGCTTATAAACGGATATTTACTATAAGCCAACAGATACACACCAAAACCTGCATTTCGGATCATGCCATTTCATTTATACTGAAATATGTTTTATCATATAATCTTGCAAGAAGGATCTGTACCATTGTCAGTAATACCAATATCAGGGATATGCGTCTAGAGGAACTAAAATTGTATTTATTAAACCAAAAATACCTAGAACTTTTTAGACATTGATATAGTGAAAGCCAAGGAGTGCGATAGAAAACATTACTTTCAAACACACAACGTACAAACGACAGAGATATATAACCCTTTGTCATGCATACGTATAATCCGAGAAATCAAAATATCAGTTCATGTTCAATTGTTTATGAACAGAACCGTACGAAAAGATGATGAATAAACAAAAATATATACAAGAACTGTCATTTTATTAGCAGTAAACTCCAACCCCAAAACCTTAAGAGAATACTTTGTTCCTCCCAATATTACATGTATATGTATATGAAAAAGAAGAGACATAAAAATCAACCCTTTCTGTATATTCCCTATTTATTTTTTGTTTTTATAATTTTGCCTTAATTCATGCAAAGTAAGTGATTTCATATTTCTGCCTTAAGATAATAATACTAAGTTTCTCTTTGAAAAATACCTGATTAATGAGCAATTGTAAACGATATTTTTTATTCTTAGAAACAACAAGCAAAACCTATATATACTCTATCTAAACAAAAGTCAGATTTCCATAAAGGGTAAATAAAGTAAAATAACTCTAGAATTGCAAAGGAAAAGCAAGCAAAAGATCCAATCAAAGGAAAATCTCACCAAAGAATAAAGTGAAGCATAATCGATACCCATAAATTGATTAAAAACCTAAAAAAAAATCTGTTTAATAAAAATTAAAAACTTTAAAAAATTATTTGTTTAATAAACCTTTCCAACCCTTAATACAACTATTTCTCACGATAAACTAAGGAGCAAGCTTTCTGACATAAAAGATTACATCCTCAATAAAAATAACTTTCCTATTTTCTGATTGACCATCTTCAAAATTACTCTGTTAAAAGTCTTTCTGATTCTACACACAATTACTTTTTTATAATTTTATATTGAAAAAATGCTCAAATTTCTCATTGTGACTCCTAGTATATCGTATTCGTAGACCGGGTCTTCCAACATTCTGTTAGAATTTCGATGGATACTAGCTTTACCCCTTTAAACGGCGACTTTTCATATTTTTATGAAGCAGAATTTATTCAAAAACCCTTGCTGTGGCTTTCAATTCAATATCTGGATATATCAACGACATTTTCGTCAATTAACAATAGTTATTTTTATTCATATGTCAACTCGATATAACCCAGTGAATGCAAAAGAAAGGAATCCACAGTGCCTGTCACATGTGTTTCATACTTGGATATTTTACTGATTAAGGGCCATATAACAACTTATTCAATGGACAAAAGGAATTTCGTCAGTTTTACCTTTCCCTATCTATAAAATTATATTCAACAATCACTTGTATTTGGAGTTCGTGTCTCTTAACTGAAAACGATCAATTTTAAACAGAAAATGTCTACGAACAAATAAGTTGATGTTTCAGGGCTTTCAGCCATCTTGTATAAAGTCACAAATTCGAAAATTCTATGGTCGTTATAATGACTTTGCAAATACAACATATCTATGAGTCGCAGTGTGACATGTTATCTAATAATTGTTGACATTTGTTTTATACCATTTTGCCGTCGGGTAACTCCATTTACTTGATCAATACAAAGGGCCCACGTGGGTGTGTCCGATCAACAGGAGATGCTTACCCCTCCTTGGCACCCGATTCCACCTCTTTAATCTCCTGGGGTTTCTTTTTTTTTCTCTGTTCACGTAATTTTTTAAAGGATTTAAGAGATTGATCAGAATCCGTTATCATCTCCCCTTTATGTGCTTAGCAGAGATTTTCCATTCTATTTAGGGCAAAATGTATCAATTGAGAATAATTATTGCTAAGATGAGCATTGAAATGTGTAATTAACATTGTTTCTTAATTGTCAGTGAAACATTTTCTCTCTTTCTCAAAACAATGAATTATGTTCCATTGTCTACATAATAATTTGTCTCTTTAAATTAGATTTGAATATTACAAATAAGAGTGCTTTTCTTGACATAATAAAAATTCTTGAAACGATTTACAATTGGATAATAAATAGCTGAAAAAAGAAGTTGTAATAAACTTTTGCAGACAGACATTAGCTACAGCAGAACTTTCCTATTCATGGTCTCAGATTGTAAGATTTAGATTTCTGAAAATATAAAAGACTAACTTCGTTATCTCTAAACTTGAAAATGTTTTCATCCTAGTCTTAATTCAGATTGATTTTGTCATTTTTGATCTCAACTCATGTCCTAGAAGTTTTATAAATGAATTAATTTTACGTATATTTATTCATGTACAGTATTCACAGTTCCGATAAATGTAGTTGTTTATTTAAAAAAATCATTTTACCGTTTAGTGTTTTATATTCAAATTAACATTTGTCAAAATCATTGTCAAAGTAGGCTTCCATGATCTCTTTTTTAGATGCATTTAAATCATTATTTTTCAATTTTCCTGGAATTTTGTTAATCCTTTCAGTAGACTGGTAGATATCGTGCAAAGGTCAAATCCATTTAGTCTCTAAATTTGATATGAGATTTTACTGTCCAAGGTTTTTATTATTATTGATTTTTTTCAGATAACCCATGCTTCTTCAAGTTATTTTGGATGTCTGCAAACTGCGAATCGTATAAAAGCCGTGTTATTGACCTGTCAGTAAGTGCTCAACGTGTTCTCAAGAAAAAAGACAAATGAACATCTTTTTTTTTATCTGCAATTTAAGAGAAATTTTGTCTGAAATGATCAATGTTTAGCTTTTACGTACGATAAATTGTTTTATGTAAGAATTGAGTAGTACATGTAACATATGAACCTCAAATCATCATTAACAACCCGATTTTCGTATTTCTACTTGTTCATTCTTACTTTTTCATTAAAAAAAAGTTTTTCTATAAAACTAGAATGTGATTATTTTCAGAAAACATTTCTTGTTTCAGTTGCTATCTGTTTGTAAAGTAAGTCTGTGATTATAAGCGTTTTTCATTCCAGTCGATGCCTGGTCCGAGCTTATGGCTGTCGAATTTGGGTTTTGGTTGTGATTACAAGTTTGACATCCAGAGTTCTGTAGATCCGATTTTCAGCAAAGTCAGCAATTTTACTGTGACGTCATACCGCACTATTGACTGTTTGCCAGCAACATCATATAATTATTCTCTCTGTGGTACTTTTTTCAATTTTCAAAAGAATTATACGTAGCATAGAACCTTCTGTCTATCAATAGCATGATATTCAGCTGTTAAGCAAGCGAATTTGGTTTAAGTATTCACATCTCAATTATTTCTTATCTTTCCAGACTTAGAGAGTTCGTAGAATAGAAATAGACACCACATAACGTGCCACATCTGCTTCATAATTGAATAAATTACGGTTTATATATGTTTATGGCAAAACAAACGACAAAACTATTGGACAAACGGGATGACTTCAGCTTTTCCATCGTCAACTTTCCCTATTTATGTAGTATTATTCCACAATCATCTGTATTTGGTGTTTATGTCTGACACCAGATTCGATTCTCAAGTTCGTGTTCTGAGGACGATGAATTTTTAACAGAGGAAGTCTACTGACAAATAAGTTGAAGTTATAGGGCTTTTCAGTCATTTAGTTTCAGGTCAGCATTTCGGGAATTTTATGGTCATTCTCATGACTTTCTTTGTGAATACAACCTATCATTGGGTCGTATTATGATTGTCATGCCAGCTGTTAGGCTATTGTTTCTTTTTACTATTTTGACTATGGATAACTTCTTTGACCATTGTAAAGGCTAACTGTGGTTTTGACAAAGGATGCTTACTCCTCCTACATGTACGCACCTGAAACTGTCTTTGGTGCTTCCAGGGATCGTGCCCTGTTCACGATTTTTGTCCTTTACTGGATGTATGAGATTGATCACTGTTATAATCGTCAATTTGCATTTTTAAAAAGTAACAAGAAATAAATTGAAAATTATCTCATCTTTTCCGACATATAATTAATAACTACCAGTCGTGTTCATCTATGGAATTGAATGTACTTCATTAGAAATAATAGGATAGATAGATGCTAACATCATTCATTTTCCGTGATATAATAACAATCTTTTACGTACGGGGCCAAAACAAAACAATACACATGAATAATTATGATTTGTTTTATCACTGGTTGCTGATTATGTTTATTTTTATTTTCTTAGCCCCGGAACAGCCATCAAAAATCACAGTCAAAACGGTTAAAACGTATGTAGATAAGGTCCATGAAATGACTGCTGGGGACATTATGTTATCATGGAGGGCACCTCCGCACGCCAGCGTCGATAACAACATAACTATGTACAGAATAGAATTCAGTAAAGTAGCTCGACTTCACAGACTTCAGTACCTCATTCCCCACAGTAATGTCACGCACGTTCTAGGGGTGAGGAAAATAGTCATTAATTTGTTTGTCTTTTCTTTATTTTTTAATAGAAAATTAAAAATTCAACACAATGTTCTACATGAAGTGATAAAAGATAATTAATGTTTGATATAATTAATAACAGCTTCCCTTATAAAATTTACTTTAGTTTATTATAGATTCTTAACTGAAGTAAATACTTTGATACTATGTAACTTTCCTCTAGAACTTTTTTTTCAGATATCAAAGCTTAAAAATCTCTCAAATTCAATAACAGTGGTGTAAAATTTGGAAATATGTGAATATACAAGTAGTACTGTAGTTCCATTTAATAATAATTTAATTCTGGTTGTAACACGCCATTTGATAGGATAAAAAAAAGAAAAAAAAAGATATATCGTATAACCTGCGTTGCCTACGTCACAATGAATTACGTCAAAAACGTATCAATTCGCTTGACGTTTTTTGAAAGGAAAAATTGTCTATTTTTGCACTTAATGATAGGAAATTAAATTATAAGGAATAAATTTAATAGCTACCCAAATTATACTTGTATAACCTGGGTTTGGGCAGTTAACGTTTTTTTTTTATAAACCGCTTCGCGCTTTAAAAAGCGTAAACTACCACAAGCCAGGTAATACAGTATAACTTGGGTAGCTATTAAATTCATTTCTTAAAAAAATGTGCGTGTATGAATTGAAGGACATAAAATATAACAATCTGAAAACCAAAGTAAATATACTTTGATTTACAGTAGTAAAAACCTTTAGTTTACTATAATAAGAACTTTGATACTATAGTAAACTATATAGTTCACCATAGTAAACTATAGTTCACTATAGTAAACTACAATCACTATAGTAAACTATAATAGTATTTTTTGTTAGGGTTGCTACAAAGGAACACAGGTTCTCCAATTCACAATTCTCGAATAGATTCTGTTTTACATTTGAATATTTTACATAGAATTTAGCGACATCTTTCAGCTCAGAATTTAAGAATTAGTTATATGCAACAGCATTTAATTAGAGTATTTATCAAGACCGTCCTGTATTTATTCCTAATCTTACTAAAATTTTAATGTATCTTAAGGTAACCTTAAATATCTATCTAAATTTGTGTTTCTAGAATCAAACATGGGTTGTAATCAGAAAACTACATTGGTTCAATGACTATCGATTTACTATTGTTGCAATTTCTGATGGTGGAGAAAGTAAAGAATGTTCAAAGACTTTTAAACTTGGTAAGAATTTATACATTTATTTTACCCGTCATCAGAGTAAAGATACATATTATGTAGTTTCATAGCTGAGGAAAAAAAAATTAGAGAGAGAGAAAGAGAGGGGAAGTATATTGAAAATATTAGAGCTTCTTTGAATATTTTCTATAACACGAAAGAGGAAGATATGGTATATATCATATTTCTGAACGCACATATATTTCATCAATTATTTGACAATTTATAACAATTTTCTTAATCTTTTTACCAGGAGAATTCGCAAAATTGACCGCCAAAAAAGAAGACACCGAGCAAGGTAAAAGGACTTTGGCACATTTCTAGACCTTAGAATTTTTAAAATATAGTTTTTCCAATAATGTAAATAAAAAAAAATATTTCATATATTTTTTTTAATTTCCATATATAAAGCTCATATTCATCATCTAAAGTTTGGTAAAACAATAAGAATTGTTAGAGTTATTGTCTGTTGTTGCCAACAAGAAATGTACGATTACCTTTGACAATTAATTTGCCATGTTTATTTCGAATTAACGAATAATTAAAATAATTTTAATAAGTATTAAAGCATCGGAAATTTTAACTGGTTAGTGAATTTACAGAGAGGATGTATACTGCAGATATAATTCGAGTTTTTAGGATGAGCCCCCTCTTATAGAATAGTTGAATAATGCTTTTTTTGAAAGTAGATAATTGCTTCAGGGTTCTCTAAAAGCAACTGAAGGCAAAGTTAGTTTAAAAAAATTCTTTTAATAAAATGTTATACAAAACCTTCAGCAATAACTCTCTAAGAAAATTCCAGAGGAAAAGAATGAGGCTGTGATAGCAGTAGTGGTGGTGGTCATTGGAATCCTGATAGCTTTTATACTCATCTGTATAATCAAACGGAAACGGACCAGAGAAGAACAGGAAACGGAAAGAAAAACTAGTGATGAGGTAACGAGAGTGTTCACCTTGTTAAAGTAATCATATACATATGTGTTAAACAGAAACCTTGAACCAAAGGTCAGACTGGCCACAGAACGTAAATTCTTTTCGTCGAAATATGGCTAAATGATTGCCGACTCGGCGTTTATCAATAAAAAATCAATCAATCATTACCCATTAGATATGACTTCTTACATTTTATAATATTTTTGCATGCATACAAGGGTCGTTCAATAAGTAATGCAACATACATTTTATTATTATAAATGTAGAAGCAGCTGATATAATTTTTAAGTCGAAGTGTTCTATTTAAGTTCTATTTAACCATTGGAAAAAAAAATCATGGTTTTTCCTACTCTCTTCGCAAAGAAATTCACTTTAAAAGAAAGCATGGTCACTTTACTGAGCTAAAAAAAGGTTAAAAACAGCCTCTGTCAAGTAGATGAAAATTAGAGCATCTTTGAAAGCTGCTTTTCATCATAAAAATAGCTGAAGATTCCACATGAAGATATGTGTTTGACATTTGTAAAGACTATAGTCTTCCACGCAGCACGTACGCAGGTAGGTTAAGGCTTGCCGTAGAATATGACAGTGCACTCTGTGCCTTCACATCTCTGAACTACCAAAATATGACGTCATAATGGAAAATGACGTCAGGTCACTGCAAACTTGAAGTGTTATGACGGGGAGAGTGTCATGAACTTTACACTTTATTTCAAACTGCATGTAAAATGCTAGATAGCTATTGCAAAATTCGCGGGTCGTTAAAGGTTTTTTGTCTTATATGTCCGAATATTTTAAAAATACATCGCTTACCTACCCTTGATTGAAATTCATCATGTTCAAAATGCTTTTGAAAAATATACTTTTGAAATGTACTCTGTTTTATGCCCATGGTTGGAGGTAGAATTTATTTTGTGTGTATAAAAGAGTCTGGCGCAGGTGATTAATGAGGATTAATCTGAGAATTTTTGTGGAAATCTGTAAGAAGAGGTTGTTCTCTACCTGAATCTTGCTTGGGAAAAATGTGTGTTGGCTTTGTTTTAATACAGATTACGATATTCTGTGGAAAATACCCTCAAATTTGTAGGTAAGTTGAATTTCTCAGGAAATATTTTGTACCCAAGTAATACTATGACTTTTCCCAAGCACATTTCGGATACACAAGGATACGATGAGTTTATTTATATAACAAAATGTTAATAATTATTGTGTTAATCAGCTGCGCCGAAGCGATTTATATGAAACATTTCAAAAAATTATAAATGACCGTCACGTGATCAACAAAGTCATGTGATATCACAACAAATATGCTAATATATAGCCGAGGAAACCCTTTATATAAATTGGAAGTATTAAAGTTCAATGCTTATGACATATTATGTTTTGAGCGCATTTTAAAGCTTCGGGAAGCCTTAACATCGCTGCGTAGGTGTTCAGATGGATTCGGAATAGGAGAGTTCAAAGATCACAGTCTACCTGATCAATTTGAGTTTGTAGAGCCATAAAAGATCTTATTTGTAGAAGATCATTCGCATTATTTATTGAACACCCTCGTATAACCCTGAATTGTCATCTTTTGAGTCCTACTGTAGTTCTAAATCCGCCGTCTGTTCACATATCAGTGCACTTATTGTAGGAATTTACCACTGTGATGTCACTTCTCCCAATTTAAAACGTCTTACTTGAAGCCTATAACTTTCTCCTATCACTAATCACAACTTATGGCATTTTATGAATTTTGTTTAAGCATATGCATGTAACCCTCGTATACACATGTATATATACATGTAGGCATAAAACCGTCGTCTGTTCACATATCAGTAAACTTATTGTAGGCATTTACCACGGTGATGTCACTTCTTAGATTTTTTAACGTCTTACCTGAAGCATTTAACCTTTTTCTGTCACTACTTACAACTTATGGCATTTTATGATAATTGTTTAGGCATATACCCTCGATTGTCATTTGACTTTTTGTAAATGTAACCATTTAAAACTGTCGTCTATGCACATCTCATCACATCTATTGTAAGTTTATATCTCTCTGATATCAATTCTCGCATTTTATCACGTCTTCAAGGACTATCGCTTGTCACTACATATTATCTTTTGTCCATTTATCGTTTGCTTTAAAACCACCCATGGTTGTCACTACTCACATCTTAAGAAGTTTTAATGTAGGCTTATAATCCTTTATACGTGGCCACATCCCATTCCTCCTGTGACGATCCGCTCCTGATAGATCACATGGAGATATGCTTTGAGAACCTTCAACTTTTGGAAGTAATTGGAGAGGGAGCCTTTGGCAAGGTCCATAAAGGTGAATATCTTCAGGAGGACGGGAAACGCTGTACTGTGGCCGTGAAAATGCTTAAAGGTAAATATCAGTCAATTTCTACAAGAATTACTTGTATGACATGTGATTGCTATAATAATAGTTACAATAAGTCTGCTGTACGCCTGTTTGCACAAGAGTTTTCGATTTCAGCCTTTAGTGAATTTGCAAATCTTTTGATAAGTCATTCATTGCTTTTTGCTAACAAACAAGAAACATTTGAATCCTAGTTGCTTTTTGATTAATTTTCAGAGAATAGCAATATTATCTATATATGTAAAATAGATCAAATGAGGGTTTTTAAAATTAAATTCGATTTAGTGATTTATATTTCTTTCAACACTTCTTAGCATAAAGTTTAGATCATCTACTATTCTCTGAAAATTTGTATCTGTATTAAGAATAAAGGAAGATCATGAAAACTCCTTTTTAAACAGAATTTGCAGATAAAACAGAAGAAAAAAGCTTAATGACAGAAATAGAAGCCATGAAACAGCTAGGAAACCACCCTAATATTGTTGGTATGCTGGGTTTCTGCACAAAGCCGTCCTTTTTGTGTCTTATAATGGACTTCTGTCCTCTTGGTGATCTCCGACAATATCTCCTTAACTGCAGGCACCAGGTTAGTACCCTGTCTTATTACGTTTTCATGACTGTATTGTAGAATTAACTTTTAAGGAATTTGATAGAATAAGAAGCTTTTGCTTTGTAAAGTATCTTACATTGCTTATTCATACATATGTGGATTATTCAAGCACGTATAATTTTCAACCAGGATTTTGACCCTACTTTTAAGTATATAAATAATTTCACTGTTTTTTGTTAGGAAAAAAAAATCTCGTAGGAGGAGAAAACATTAATCAAGTGATAATATCTGCCTTAAGTAAAAACTTTGAAACACTTTCCTACACTGATTTGTCATGGAAATTATATGAGTATACCTTTATATTTGCATTATTTTATGTATGAATGTCAATTGATGTCCTTTCTAATAACTTTAGATGATGAAAATGGGTCAAAGAATGAGAAGGAGGTCTGACAGTGGAATCAGTCCAGGCTGTGATAGAACAAGAGGCGCTGAATTCTGTAAGTCTTCCCACCTGGTGTGATCAAATTACTGTTTAATGGAGACATGGACACAGAACTATGCATCTAGTGCGCGGTTTTACCTTGCTTTATTTGTGTAAAATTTGCAAATCTTCTTTCCCTCTCGAAATTAGTGTTAATTATTATACTTCTGTTAAAATGTTTTCTATATAAAGTTAAGAAGGTAAAATAACTATCTTTATAGTCTCAAAATTTCCACACATAGCAAAGCTATACCCCGGGGTATAGTTTTTGCTATCCACCCTTCGGAAAATTTTCATGCAATTTTTGCCGCCAATTTTGGTTTCCTGTAATCAATCTATAGACTTATGATGTCATCCTGACTTCAGTAGCATTGTGGCGTCATCAGGATTTAAGCTCATTCTGGCAGTGTTATGCTATTCCAAATACTTGTTCAAAACTTCTATAATTATTTTTTTCCCATGTTTTTACTATCGAACTGTAGTATCAGGTAAATCCAATCCTCAGAAATTATGATATACATCAGTATAATAAAACGCTTATCCACTGGCTGTGAGTGGGATAGCTCTTTCATCAAACCCTTGACAGGAACTATTCCCCTCGGGCAAACCCTCGGGGAATAGTTCCTGTCGCGGGTTTGATAAAAGAGCTATCCCACTCACAGCCAGTGGATAGGTGTATACTATCAACTTATACATGCATGTATTTTGAGCTTAATTACTTTGTATTATCTTCAAATTTCATCGTAGAATATTTGCATTTACTGATTTCAGACATTTGTTAACATTTTAATTTTTAGTGCACTTGAGCTTTTCTGATCACATTTTTCCGCCTACGTCCTTCTGTCTGTCCGTCCGTCTGTCTGTCTGTCTGTAAAATTTCACACTCTCGACTTCTTTTCAAGAACCTCTGACTAATTTCAACCGAACTTGAAACAGAGTAAACTAGGATAAAAGTGTATTCAGTTTTTTCAAAAGAAGGGCCACGTCTTGTTCTAAGTGGAGATATTACGAATTAGTGAAAAATTAATGGCATCTTTTAAAAATCTTCTTCTTAAGAACCAGCGAGCCAAAAAACTTGAAACTTAAACGTATGTTGAACCATCCTCAGGTAGTGTATATCCAAATTTGTTAAATTATAAGTAGGATAGGGCCACAATTGGCGATCAAAGCTTTATATAGGAAGACATGGGAAAAATTTTCTTTTCAAGATCAGCAAAGCCATGATGGGTCATATTTATATAGAAGCATCCTCAGGTAGTGTAGATTCAAATTTGTCCTCGTCATGACCCCTGGGGGAAGGGAGGGTCAGAATGGGCCATCAATTTTTACATAGGAATACACAGGAAAAATCTTTTAAAATATTCTTCTCTAGAATAGCAAAGCCTTGATTGTCATATTTATATGAAAGCATCCATAGGTAGTGAAGTTTCAAGTTTGTTCAAATCATGAACACCCCACTCCTTTCCCAGACCACTTTTAATTTTCAATAATGACTGATTTCTGCATTTTCCTGGCTAAAGTGCTCAGGTGAGCGATGTGGGCCTTTTATTTATATATGGGACCAGTTCACACACATGCAGTGTGTAAATTTAACATATGCCCAAAATTTCGCAGACATGTATTTTCATATGAGTATTTTTATTCCTATTGCAAAATATAAGTCAAGTCCGACTAAATTAATTTTTACATATGATTAAATTTACTACTGGTGTATGTTCAGCCATGTAAACGCTCAGCAAAATGTACACACATATGCAGATATTAAATCGTCTATTGTTGTATTACATTGTTAAAATGCATCGTTTTATGCATAGGTAAGCGTAGCAACCTTCCGCTTTGTCAGTTAGTCAAATTGTCATTTTAAGTAGCATTTGAACAAGAAATAGCGAGAAGGAGAACTGCAAAGATAGAGGAAGAGACAAATATCTTTCTTAGTACAAGTACATAGAAGAAAATCATGGAGATGAAGGACAATAAGAATTACTGCGCCCTACATTGTAAGGATAAACGCATTTCCACATTAAAAAACCTATTGTATGCATTCGTTACCAAAGTTATATTTAACAAAATTGAAAAGCATCTAAAATTGAAAATTATTTTCGATCTTATATTTTAAAGTTTAATTAGCATTTATTTCTTTGCAAAACGCCACAAAGAAATAATGATGTGTTTATATATGGTTAATTTCGATTGTCAAAACATGCAGCATATGGACATCATAGAAGTGAGGGGTCATTTTATACCTTAGATTGAGTAACAGTACTTTTAGACATTGTTTACAATACAGAAGTTGAAGTATGCAGAATTTAAGTAAAAGATGCATAACTCTCTCATAATATAGAAATATTAGTAATCTGCAAAATACGAGAGTTGTCGGGCCTGTCACGATACTGGTGTGTGAATGTGTTTCACTTAAGGTTTTCTGCAACGCTGTCATAATTTTTTTTCTTAAGATCTTTCATCCAAAACAAATTTTCATTGTTTTCCTGAAAATTAGAAAGAATTAAATTTTTTACGACAAAATATAAATGCTGATACTTTATAGTTTTCCTGGATATTGAAATATTTTCTTGGTTAAATTATTCTTTCAAAAAGAAAAACAAGGATGTGTAATGCATGTAAATTTTTAACAATGAAATAAAGAACATTCGTAATATCAAAAGACAAGCATATATTTCAAACCAATGCATTTTTTTTCTGATTGTTGGTGGAGATACTAAAATGATATAATGGCGACACTTGTAGATTTTCAATTTTTATGATGCTCTACATGTAACACTGCCGTCGTCAGTGATATATTCCTATAGAAACTATTTCTATGAAAACTCACTATCGGATGACACTGACACAGTCTCCAGAGCTGTATTTAGTCTATCATGCCAATCTTTTTCTTTTCATAAGTGGGTCTTAGTTATCTATCATGAAAACCAATAAAATGTCTCATTTTATCATTGTTTATGTTTTCTGTAGTCGCTACAGATCCTGGTGGATTGGAAGTGCTTTCTACAAATTCCGAAAGTAACGGTAAACATTTTCCACAAATTAAGATTTCTGATTCCAAGATGACTTGTGACACAAATCATCAATCATTATGGCATTTAAAACATAAATGTTTCACTTGATATCGATAATTCCTTATATCTCTATATTTATAACAGAAAGGGAGACATCGATAGTACAAAACGCAGACATCTATGTTATATAAAGAAAGAAATTCTTTATTTAGAGGAAACATATATCAAAAGCAACAGAATGAAACAAAATATGATAGACCTTGATATGCTTGGTATTGGTATTGACTGATAATGATGTGTACATACTTCCAGATAAAACCAAGGAAAGAACATTAAGTTTACATTGTTTTTCTTTTCAAAGTATCTACAGAGTCGGAATGTTGTATTCAAGAGACGACACTTCTGTCCTATGCCCGGCAGATCGCCATTGGGATGGTAGGTAATACATATGTACATTGAAGATAATAACACCAAACTCAATTCTCAAAATAATATGGAAAGATCAGATTTGTATTTCCATTGGATGTTATCATGAGGAGAACAAATACATAATTATATTCTTGATCCAGTTTGTCAATTATTACAGATTAAAGATAGTAATAGAAGTGATCAACATGGAAATGTCTATATCATGAAAAAGCTAAATAATAAATATAAATTTGTATAATACATCATTTTCAAATGTTTTTTTTTTTTTTTCAATTGCGAAAGATATCAAATGAATAAACCATCATATTATCGTTTTCAAAAGAAGATAAAGACTCGTGTATTGCTGTAGAATTATGATTTGTTATAGGAATATTTATCCCAGAAGAAGTTTATCCACAGGGATTTGGCCGCTAGAAATATTCTCATGGTGGACAATCGTAGACTGAAAATCTCGGATTTTGGTCTGACACGTGACATATATGAAACAAACATGTATCAGCCTACTTCATCCCGTAAACTTCCCTACAAATGGATGGCCATTGAATCCATATTCGATCAAGTATTCACAATAAAATCCGACATGTAAGACTCTAAGAATTCTGTGTATAGTTATGATTGATTAAGGTAACAAGCTTGTTAGACAAGTGTAGAATTAGGTTGGAGCCTTTTCATAAACATTGTTTTCTTTTATTTGTTATTTAAACAATGACTTAATGCTTTTAATAGTAAGAAAGTATTAATTAATCGTTAATTTATGTGTCACATGGCAAATATTACAAATGAAAAATGTGGCTCAGAGATGATATTAGAAATATTAATTAAAATGTTTAAATTTGGATTTCTTGGTAATCAGATATGTAGATTTATATATTATAAATTCTTAAAATGGTATGAACGTGTACCTAAGTTATATTATTAATATAAAATGAAATTAAGGAAATTGAATTGACGCAAGATCTTTTCTGCTATAATTATATTTTTCATTACCTCTCTCCAATTTAGATGGTCTTTTGGAATAGTTTTGTGGGAAATCGTCACCCTGGGTGGCAGTCCATATCCGGGCATTCCTAATGAAGATTTATTCCGCCTTCTGAAAGATGGATACCGCATGGACAGGCCAGAAAATTGTTCCACCGACATGTAATTAAGTATACAATACTTTAGACTGATAACATGCTAATCTCAATACCATAGAGTTCTTTTTTTTTTTTTTTGAATTATTATTTCTTAAAGTAGGCAACTTCTTACTTATCAACAAATCCTTGAAAAACTTATTTTTCAAAACATTTATTCATGGTAAGTTAGAAAACTGATAAAGATATATTGTAATCTGTGATTTTGTTGTTATAATAGAAGAAATCCAACATAGTTATTCCTTGTGAAAGACATATTGCAAGTATTTTACAATTATACAATGACTGCTGCTTTATTTTTGAAAAATGTTTTTTGAAAGTAAATAATCCATTGTGTCTAGAAAGATATGCATTGTTCATATTCGAATTCGATGCCTCTCTAAAATAACCGTGAAGTTTGACGTGTTATCTTCTTTAAAATTTTAATTTTTTGGAGGATAATTTTTAATTTCATTGGAGCACATCTAATAATTAATTCACATTGTTAAAAATAATCTTTCCAAGAGTTTTATTTTTTAATCTTCTTAATTAAAATTGAATTTTTTTTATTTGTATATTTTTTGGATCTAAAAGTAAGTAACGCACTGTGTAATTACAGATATCAAATGATGCTGTCAGCCTGGCACCCAAATCCCGACTGCCGCCCGACTTTTACTGACCTCCGTACAAGACTGGAGTCCATGTTGGAGGCAACAAAATCTTACATCAACCTCTCCGTCAGTGTGTCACAGGATTACTACACAAATGAGAGTTCGTCAAGGTAAACAAACCGTTAGTCAGTACCAGTTCAGCAGGGTAAATTTACATATTGAATGAGAATACAATATACTAAAGAGAATGTCATAATCTAGAAAGTATACTTAGAGAAGATCATTAACTAGAAAGTGTAATAATCTAGTAATTTCAGAATATTCGGTCACTTCTGGTTGGACAGGTAAACCATTTAATATATGGTCTTTTACGTTTGCCGCCGCCATGTGTAACTTCAAAAATTGTGACAAAAAACGGTGTTCTTTGTAAGGTAACTTTCATGACGCATCCTTGATTCATGATCGCCCCAAATTCTAGAGAATGATTGATGACATACATTGGACTGAAAAAGATGTACGACATGGTAACCCTTCGCCTCTTATTTGGTCCCATTTTTTCAGATATAACATGTGGGTCAGGTTTTGACACAAGATTTGATTATTTGGGTTAGGGTTATATTTGATTATTTAGTTTTATATTTGAGTTATACGCACACGCTACAACTTATTGTAAGTGTGTTATTTCAGTTGATTCGATACGCCAGAGCATGCTCTACGTATGAACAATTTCTAAAACGATGTATGTTATTGACAAACAAGTTGATGAAACAAGAATATCAGCAGTCTCGTTTTAAGTTATCATTTCGAAAGCTCTATGGTCGATACTATGACCTTTTCTTCAAATACAATCTATCATTAAGTCAAATGCTGACTGACTTGTTAGGTCATTATTTACACACTGAATTGTCGATGGATTTTTCCGTTATTTCCCGATCATGATAAGGAGCACACGGCGGGTGTGATTGGTCGGCAGGGGATGCTCACTCCTCCATGGCACCTGATCCCACTTCTGATGTCTTAGAGGACCGTGTTTGCTATGCTCCTATTTTGTAATGTTTAATGGACTTCTGAGCTCGAATACTGTTCGATATCTCCACATATTTTCTATATCTATTCAAAATTTTACAAATATTCTGAAAACTTCTATTTATATCCTTGACATGTTTTCAGCATAAAGGTCACGGGAGAAACAGTTATTTTAATAATGAGTTGGGAACGAACGCGGATAAATGGCAAATGAAGGATTTTGTGATTGACTGAAAATGTTTCGTGATTCTTAAAATACCCTCATGGTTATTGTGCACCTTGTTTTGTGCGATTTTGCAATAAAAAAAAAAACCGTTATGTGACTTCTAGAGTCCATGTAATGCAATGATTATGCGCATTTCAAAAAGATGCGTCCATTGAATTGTTTTAAATTTTAGTTTCCCTTTGTTTCTAATATGTATGACAAAAATGAGGTCTTTTCTAATATGTAAAGACAAAAATATATAGCAAAACTATTTTATTATAGCATGAACAAATAAACGTTGGAAATTTAATGTAAATAACAATAAAAATGGTAGATAGTTTCTTTATAGGGAAACAGTTATTCCACATTTATTAACAGTAACATGATTTCCAAAGCCTTTATTCTCTTTTATCTTTTTTTTTTTGATTTCTTTTGAAAAAGGGTTGTCTTACTGCAAGAGAGTATGCACTCTAAAGATAACATAACGATCTGATATAAATTTCTGAGCAGTCAAAAATAATGATTCATAAGGAATACATTGCCATTCCACAGGAAGTGTAATATTCTGCCTAGTTTGCTGCAATTTTTTATTGCAGCGCTGAACTTGATTGTTCTTTCCTTTTTACCTAGTTTCTTGTTATATGACAAATGAATGATTTTAATTGACAAACACATTATTGATACATTTTAAAAAAATGAATAAAAAGTTTATATATCTGCATAATTTCACACTACAGTTTATCTGAGACGTCTAGACTAGATGGCATAACGGTCATGTGCTTTTATTCCTAATGAGGGAAGAATAAATCAGTTTTTTTTCTTGCAATTGGATTTCATTTTCCTAGAATATCTAGCGTCACTTTGACCGATTATTCACTCAGACGAAGTCTAATAAACGTCTTTTGAAGAATATGACTTACAAAACTATATCAATGTCTGCTTCGTTATTTCATTATAAACTTTATTGATCTGAACTAATTATGAACGACACTTGTCTGCTAACTGACCCCAGGTTGAAGTAATGGTGTAGTGGATAGTGTAACGAGATAAAAATTCTTGCTTGTACTTAAATAGAATTATTGGCTTGAATTTCTTTGTGGAGACATGTAATAGTCATTTTAAAAAAAGTGTAGTTGATAATAATTTCAAGAAAGAAACATTGTAATTTACAAATAACAGCAGATGTAAGATTCAAACGTAAATATTAATCTTAAAATATGAGATTTTTCGAATTCATGGTTTTAAAGAAAAAGAAAAAAGGTCACAAAAACGATATATGTTTGATATATTCTTGTTTTCTTTTTGTTAAAAATAAAGGGACACCTCACCACTTTCCCTGCCAGACAGTGTATCGGACAGCACCGGAAGTAGGGTTTCGTCATATTTCGTCATGAATGCACAAGGGGAGACAAATCCTTCGCCAGTTGTTCCCAATACTTATCTGTCCCTCCCACAAAACTCAACGACAGCCGTGAGTTCTAATGAATTTAAACGTGAATGTATTCACGGATCAGAATTGACCTCTTGTTTCAACACAGAACAATGTGATATGTGTAGAAGTTTACCATGTGCCTTGTGTAAAAATGGCGCCAATTTTAAACAGGAGAATACTCAGTCAGGATATCCATTGAATGACGTCACAAAATCGTCGTCCATAAGTAAATTAAGGATTTATCCACACGGAAGTAAGATTGTCTATTCTGACAAGATCATGGCTGGAGAAAAACAAACTTTTGACATCTGTTCCAATTCAGTTTCTGTCCAATCCATAAACACTCATAAATAGTTTATAAATGATTCTTGAATAAAATTATATCAATAATATAGTTCATTTTCACATGTATACACTTAACAAATGAATTACTACAATTTTATTACAATTACTCCCAATGCCCTGAGTCCGCGCAAAGTACTTCATTATAATAGATGAATCGCTCTACGTAAAGATTTGTCTTATGTGATGCTACATGTATAGGTGTCTATGTCACAAAATACATGTATCTTTTATTGAGAAACTCATATTATATATCTGGTAGATTTTTTTTTTAAAAATAACAATAAAACTTTTATATACCCTATTTATAAAAAAGCGAAAGTAGTCATGCATGTAGTTTAATTTCATGCTTTCCAGATTAAAACACCATGGAAAATTTGAACGCATAGGACACCAGGATTCTCTCTCTCTCTCTCTCTCTCTCTCTACAACATAGCAGAAGACGTTTATATTTATTATACAATGTTCATTCTCTGTGTTTTTATTTTGAGTATCAGATATTATAAATCTAAGAAGAACTGCTAAATGAATGCAAGATTAAAAAATAATGTCAAGCTGAAATGATATATATTTTTGTTAATTATCAGTGATCCAAGAATAAGCAAATGCAAAAAAAAGATGTTTTATCATAGCTCCTTCATTAATGCAGAGATCATAAAAATCATTGATCTCCTTATGACAATGCTATACCAATTACCAAGTGCAAGTGGATAAAACCTTATCTTTTTAAGCATCTCAAGTTTTTTGTAGCCATCCATTCACCATTTAATTACAAAAATCGCAAAAACAGCATACTTTTCACTCTGTTTATACCATAAATAAAAAAAGATTGTCAATTAAACAGTGATTAATTGCTGAGGTCACGATATAATAAGCCAAACAGGAACAAATAATTTAGCTTTTTGTTCGGATCAATGTCAAATGTCCGTTGTTGCCTTCATACAGCTTAAGATTTGTTTTTGTGAACTGAAAATAAATAAAAATGAAACAAGCTAAAAAAAATTAGGATTGACAGTATCTTATCTAAAAGAAATATCAACAATAACGGTATTTAAAGTATACTCTAGTAAAATTGATATATTAAGAAATAAATATAATTCAGTTTTGACTCATCAATCAAAAGAAAGGAAGGGAAGTTGGTAATATATCTGAGAGAAAAGATAATACAAAAATTCAAAAGTACAACATAAGAAAGTTACATGTATAATAAATAAGTTAGAAATAAGCAACTAACAAGAAATAGGCTATAATGAATAATAAAGTAGAAAAAGGCTGTAATGAATAAGCAAGAAGGAAAAGGCAACACATCAAAAAATTATCTATTGTAAGGCAATACAGAATGTGAGAGAAACTAACTGTAGAAAAAATAAAAACATATTTTAGTTTGCAGAGGATAATGTTGATTCTCGTTAATTATTTTTCTCGTTCGAAAATCTTCTAAAACGTCTACTTTCATAAGTGTATCAGCGTCTCTAGGTAACACTAAAAAGCCGCCTTGTGTGTTACGAAATTTTGTTAGACAATTCTTTGTCTGTTTATCTCAATAACTAAATGTTCGTGGGAAGCAAACATTTACTTTGTCTTGACAATCTCAATCAGCCATTCATCAAAATCCCGACGGGAACTGTAAACATATGTGATAAACTATTAAAGATTAAACTCGAATCAGGACATAAAAAAACTTTATGGAGATGTATTTTCTATGTATAATTATCTATTTAGAATTCATTTATGATAACAACATGAGAAGCATTTCCAAATGCATCTCTTAATACGGAAAATTAAAGAAAAGATTCACTATTTTTTAAAGTGATACATCGTGTCGAGGGAAGAAGTGTTTTCTACTTTGTCATATTTTATAATTGTTCGACATGGTTCTTTTATGTCCACCGAGAACCATATTCTACAATCCAAGGATACTGAACTTGCACGAGTATTGATCTACAATATGAAATCTATTATAATTAGAAGTCATCAACAAAATATATGAACCTTAATTCATATGGACTGTTGGTCGCCTGCGTGGCGCAGTGGTTAGAGCGTCTGCTTTAGCTGTCACGGAGTAAGGAGTTGATCCTTACGTCGCGGGTTCGAATCCCACTGTGGGACGTGGAGACCGGTTCTTCGGATGAGACCGTATAAACCGAGGTCCCGTGTGGCAGTAAGTGCTGGCACGAAAAAAATCCCTCACTGCTCAATGGCCGTAAGTGCCGAGTATAGGACAAAATTTGCAGCTCTCCACCGGCAAGTGGTGGCGTCTCCATATGAGTGAAAAATTCTCGAGAGGGACGTTAAACAACATACAAACAAACAAACATATTGACTGTTGCATAAAAAATCATTTAAATATTTAAAATAATCACTCTTAGAACATTAACACAATTAGATTTTGTCTATAGCCGAAAAGAAACGCCAACGTTCTTGGGGCGCTTTTTTTAGAACCCATTATCAGATTATCGACAGTCGATCAAATATATCACATGTGACTTACTTTCTATGTTTTTTAAATAACGTGCACAGCCGTTTTGCAATGAGTTGTTTTATTAAATTGTTTGACCCTATTAAGTTCATTTCCATATTTATTCCGTTGTGCATAGATGTCGTGTATCGTTTGATTCCACAGTGAGTGATGTAAAATGAATGACCGTCCACTGAATTTTTTCATCTGTTAAAATATTGAAAAAGTTGAATCCTAATTAAACACCAAAATATGACGTCAGACACTTTTACTAAATATAAAGGATATTTAAGAAAAATAAATTGATCATAACCAACAAAAATCAAGATCGAAATATCATTCTAATAATACAAATTAAGAGTAAAGCAAACAAGGGCATCTAAAAATCCAAATAAAGGAGCCATGTAGGAGTAAGCATCCCATGTCGACCATTCACTCTCATCGTGTGCTCCTTTTCATAGTCGGGTGAACAGAAAAGGAGCAGTATGAAAACTATTTTATATTGCTACAAATGTTCAATTATACAAAAGCCCATTGAGCTCATTTTCGTAGAGATAAAAAAATATATTTTTCGCGTTATAACGCGAAACTTTCCCTGTAAAACAGAGACATTTGCATAAGTCTACAGTTTGTTTTACTTTTTAATGATCTAGTTTATTCATTACAGTGAAAAACGAAAGACTATTTTGAACTTGGATTATCACGAGCTGAAATTTTATGTTTTCTCGCCATTGAATGTGTCTTTCCTCTTTCTAAATCTTTTTTGCCGTCACATTTTGTCTTTCTCAATGCTGTTCAATACAAGTGTTGAAGCGTATAGTAGAGGAGCGAAAATACAAGTCTAACTTTAATTAGATTGAACACTCTATATAGAATTTGAAATAAAAGATCTCAGAAAATTGGCAACAATGAGGTAAATTTGTATTTCACGGAACAATTGTGTCACATCACATGAGTAACCTAATGTGAAAATTGGATGACAAATATTCGTATCAAATATTTCATCTCCGATAGACTCACTGAAGAAATACAACATTGTATTTTAAGGTTGCACCATTTGGTCATACTATTACTTACGAAAACATTGACAATTTATTCAAAGAAAGCAACGAGTGGAGATCTTCCTGAGAAAAAAAAAATTAGTCTACAGAATTTCTTGGATTCAACAAGTGAAAAACAAGAAAATCTTTAAAGGAATATTCATTTAATTAATTAGTAGGGTTTTGAGATTAAATGCAAAATCAACACTAATCTATCCATTTTTCGCATCAATTCTCTTTTACATCATCTGAAGAAATGTCATTTATAAATTCATAGAAGTCCCCCTCTGCGTTCATGTTTTTTTATCTGTCAGTCAAGATCACAGGTTCCTGAGTAACATGACTATATATGTATAATTTCGCGTTATAACGCGAAAGTTCCGCGTTTATTTGCGAAAGTTACGCGTTTATTCGCGAAAGTTACGCGTTATAACGCGAAAGTTACGCGTTTATTCGCAAAAGTTTCGCGTTATAACGCGAAAAATGTATTTTTGTTACCTACGAAAATGAGCTCAATGGGCTTTCGTACAATTAAACGTTACCAAAAAAAAAAAAAAAAAAAAAAAAAAAAAAAAAAAAAAAAAACCTAGTAAAAGGGTAACAGAGCTTAGAGGACAAGTCAACCTTTCACGTCATTCACTCTGAAATCAACGATAAACGAAATTTATGCACAATGGAATGAATATGGAATAAGACTTAGGAATAGTTAATATAATTGTAATAAAATAACCAAAAGGAAGACACGGAAGCGTAAGCTGGCAGTGTAGATTGAAAAAAAAAACGCATTAGTGATTGAATTGCTTTCATGATGAACTGCTAAAGATTTCCGAAATGTAACATCATTAAGGTGTCGGCAACGTTAGCGTCTTGCAAAAATAATGTTACCATATTAATCAACAATATAGGTCATTATCACCTGCATAAGAGTTTATGTCTCCAATTTTATTCGATACATAGGATCATGCTCTACGTATGAAAAAGGCAAACTATTGACAAGCAAATGCAATCTAACGCTAGGTTAGTGTTTGACATTTCTCCTACACGATTTATGTGTACCCGATCATGACAACCCTAACAAAAAATATTTTACTTAACTATAATTATGTTCCCCAAACGAAGTTTGGGAACATATTGTTTTTACTCTGTTTCTTCTTCTTATTATTATTAAGGTCTTCCGTTTCCAACGGAAGACCTTCTACTGATTCTGTTGTTTCTTTTCCACTATTATTATTATTATTAAGGTCTTCCGTGTTCACGCATCTCTTTTGCTGTTTTGAAATATGTTAGACTTCACTGGAAACAAAAATGTCAACTTCCAGTTTTAGGAGATAAAATACGTTTTTTTTTTTTTTTTTTTTTTTTTTTTTACAAAATTCACTTCCGGTCGCGTGTTTTCCTGTCCTCAAAATTAGAATTTGTTCTCACAATTGCTCGGCAACAATAAACGACTGAAGTCTGAAACTTTCAGGACTGATAGTCCGTCATCAGTTTATTTGCATCGTTTGAAAATTGTGTGTCGACGTTACTTCTGGTCGTGACAGGAAGTGATGCAAA